TGTAGACATTGAGTCCATGTGAATGGTTATCTATCCTGACCATTTACTACAGGGTGGAGGTAGCACTCATCGGACTGTTTTGACGTTTAGGGATTGGAATGAGGTCGCTTTGTGGATGATTCCAGCCCTGCCCAGCCCTGATGCTCTTTGTCCTGTTCTAGCAGGCAACCTGCCACTTGCTTCCTTTGGGTTTTACGAAACTTGCAAAATGTCAGGGGCCTCTTTTCCTTCCCGCAGTAGAGAATAGGAAAACCGAGTTGGCCAGAGGTTTCCTGCCTGCGCACTCTCCTACCTCTCCCCGGCCTTCCTTTGGAAAAGCGTCTCGGAATGATGCATGTGGTGTTGATGATAAGAAAGGTGGGTCAGCCTTCGCTTCCGAACATAACACTTTGACAATCCACAAGAGAGCGTGTGTGTGTTTCACACTCCCTATCAAATGTGCCTGCAGGAGGAGGTGCCAATCTAAACCTAATTATAATCTGCTTTCCTCAACTGCATGTTAGAGAAGGCAGCTATATGAAAAGTTTCCAACAGGAACAGGGCTATTTAGCTCCCTTCCACTCTTACATGACACCAGGGCTGATCAATATCATGTACCTGTCATTTTTGTATTTCTCTTCATACCTTTTTCTGATTCAAAACTGTCCAACTCAAGATGAAAGCTCCAATTGGTCCCTAGCATTGACAGCCTTTGTGAGGGGAGGAGTTTATAGATTTCCAGCTCCCTTTGTGCTTCCTGGTTTGCTCCTGAACAAGTGAGCTCAAGCTTTACGACTGTAATTCTGCGTCCTTCACTCCTCACCAGAGGAAAGACTCCAATGAATCCCTTCCTTATTTTAAACACTTCAATTAGATCACTTCGCAATGTTCTAAACACAAAGGAATCAATTTCAAACAACTGCTAACTTGTCTAATTTAACCCCTTAAGCCTTAGTTTCATTCTGGTAAATCTACTCTGCCCAAAGCTCTTCTGAGGCCAATAAATCTTTCTTGAGGTACAGTGTCCTGAACAGATTGCTTTATCCCAGATGGCCGTTTGACCAAAGTTCTTTATAAGCAAAGAACAACTTCCCTTTGAATTCCAGCTTGCCAGGAAAAAAAGGACAAACATTCCATTAGTTTTCCAGATTGCTTTTTGAGCCTGTTCATGACCTTTTGCAATTTTCATACCTCAACTCCTAAATCCCATTGCTCCTTTGATGTTCCCAGTCTTTCGGCAGTAAGAAAATATTCCCACTGCTTTTGCTTGCATCAAAGTGAATAACTTAACATGAACCGCTCCCCCACACCTCACCCGCTTCGCTTTTACGTACTTTATCCATGTCCTTTGGATACTTCCAGTTCCACAGCTTACTGTCTCTCCTGATTACTGTAATCCACAAACTGTGACATCCAACTCTCTCATCCTTCATCTGACTCATTTATAACTTGGGTAAAATGCTGAGGTTCTGATTGGAAGGGAACACCAATCAGGATCCTTTTCCTTTCTCAGTACTCCCTCTGTTCCCAACATCTTAATCAACTCCTAACCCATGCCACAGAATGGCCTCAAATCCTCTTGTTCTTTAAGACTGCACTAGTTTCATAACCTTCATCGTGTACATCACCCTCACAATTCTTCCCGTTCCTCCTGAGAGATGGACTTTTGCTGGATTTGACTTTATTTAGATACCAGAACTTCCTCAGTCTCATGCTCAGGCACCTACTGATCAGCTGCACATCACCTTTTCATTCTGAGACATCATCACGGTTCATGTACTTGTTAGTTCCCCTAAGGTCCTCGAGTTGTATTACTTAACAACACCTTGTGCTAGTAAGTTCCATATCTCAACTACTCCACCTTCTTGAAAAATTCCACCAGACTCATTAGGCCTGACCTCTCTCTGTTTCTCATCCTCTGTGTCTCATCGTTTTTTTCTCATCCTCTGCTTATGCCATTCTGTTTCTCATTCCGTTTTTCATCCACTCTTTCTGACAATCTGTTCCTCATCATCTGTTTCTCCCCATCTGTTTCAAGTCCTCAGTTTCTGCCACTTTGTTTCCCCTACTCTGTTTCTAAAACACTGATTCTGCCACACTGTTTGTCATCCTCTGTGTTTCTCTGACAAAACCATGCAGCCTATCCCAGATCAAACCTTGCTTCTCTAAATGGAGATTAAGTTTCTCTTTCACTATTTTTTTCCAATTGTTTCCCTCCCACTGACGTTGGACTCTTTGGTCTATAGCTCCCTGATCTATCTCTGGCACCATTTTTGTAAAGTGGAGCCACATTAACTATCCTCCAGTCCTCTGGCAAGGCTGAAGATAGTGCGATGAGGTTTGTGAGCAAACCACCTTGCCATCCTGGTATGAAAGATGTTCTCTCCAGAGAGATGCTAAGACAGCTATAGATTTGATTTTATTCAAATAGGTATATCCTTAAACTCACTAGTAAATAATGCAAGATCATTAGGGCATTTCTGGTCCCTACAGGTGTAAGCTACAGTAATGCACATGTTGTGTCCCCAAAGTGAACTGGTTTTGGTGAATATCATCGCATGGGCAATACAGGAGCACTATCTCAATTGTAACAATGGATTGTAAATGGAACATGCTGGAACACATATCCTAATTATTTTACATTTCATAGAATCCCAATGGCATGGAAACAGGTCATTTGACCCAACAAGTCCACACCACCCTTCTGAAGAGTATCCCACCCAGACCCAACCCCTCACCTTATCCTTGTAAACCCACATTTCCCATGGCTAATGCACCTAACCAACACATCCCTGCACACTATGGGTAATTTGGCACGGCCAATCCACCTAACCTGCACACCTTTGGACTGTGGGAGGAAACCAGAGCAAACCCATGCAGACACAGGGAGAATGTACAAACTCCACACAGGAATCGAAGCAGCAGTGCTAACCACTGTGCTGCCCTGGATAAGGAAATGTCTCAATAATTCCCTCTTAGATTTAATCATTGTTTCAAGTTTTGGTCCCCTCCACAGGTGAAAACATCTCAATGGATACATATCTGAGGATACATAAATCTGAGGATATCCACTTTGGTAGCAAAAACAGGAAGTCAGCTTATTATACGAATGGCAATAGATTTGGGGAGTGGGTAGGTGGAATGAGACCTGGGTGTCCTTGTGCACCTGTCATTGAAAGTAAGCAGGCTGTGAAGAAGGTAAATGGTATGTTAGCGCGAGGGTTCGAGAACAAGAGCAGGGACGTCTCACTACAATTGTACAGGGCCTTGACTGGTGCAGTGGTAATGTCTCTATCACTGGACTAGGAAGCCTGGGTTTTATGTCCCATCTGCTGTAGAGCCATATTATAGAATCTCATAACAGGCTGATCAGAAAATATTCACAGGGCCTTGGTGAGACCACACCTGGAGTATTATATGCAGTCTGGGTCTCCTTATCTGAGGAAGGATGTTCTGGCGATGGAGGGAATGCGGCCAAGGTTTACCAAACTGATTCCTGGAAAGGCGAGACTGTAGTATGAAGATAGATTGGATTGTGGGTGGGGAGGGAGATCTTATAGAAATATATAAAATTCTGACAGGACTAGACAGGGCAAACACAGGAAGGATGTTCCTAAATATCGGGGAAATCCAGAACTAGAGGTTACAGTCTAAGGATACAGGGTAGGCCATTTAGGCCTGAGATGAAGATAAATTTCTTCACCCAGAGAGTGGTGAAACTGTGGAATTCGCTACCACATAAAGGAGTTGAGGCCAAAACATTGAATGTTTTCAAGAGGGAGTTAGATATAGTTCTTAGGGCTGAAAGGGATCAAAGAGTATGGAGAGAAAGCAGGAACTGTTTTGGATGATAAGTTACGATCCTATTGAATAGCAGGGCAGGCTTGAAGGGCTGAATGGTCTACTCCTGTTCCTATTTTCTGTGTTGCTATCTTTTATTCTCTCTAAACCATTTCCTAATAATATCACCACCTACTAAGATAGCGCCAGCCTGCTCAGCCTCTCTGAGTTTCGGATCTCTTGGAACACAGGCTTGGCAGATTTGTGAACATATGATCTGCTCAGATTCCATTCACAGTCAGCGAATTAAGATCTAATTGTGTCCCAATCCATCCATAGACTGGCTGTCAACTGGCATGAAAGAGGATCTTCTTTTGAATCTCATTAGTATTTAAATTCCATAGATTTGCTGCATCAGGACTCCTGACTTTGTCCTGGTCTCTAACAGTCAGTCAATTTGATTCAAGACTATGGGCCTAGTTTGGGAAAGTGGGACCAACACGGGTAGTAGCATATTTTTGATGCTACAGACTTGATGAGCCTAAGGGCCTCTTGTGTACTGTATCATTCTATGATTCTATGAACATCATTTTTAACTCATTCTTCAGCTCAACTGGACTGTCTGTGTGGATAAAGTCACAGCTGCCTAGGGGAATAGTGGGTAAAGGAATGGGCTGGAAAAAGCATGTGCAGGCGAGTGGATCAAGAACTCTGGCAACATGATGGCAAATGAGTGGAGTGCAATCTTGTCTGATAATCTGAAACAATCAAGGACGATTTTTACCAGAGCATTTCCTTAGATGCTTCAATATTGGGCCTATGACAGAGGAGAGTGTACATGGAGTGTGGGATGGTGCTAAATGGGCCAGATGGCCTTATGTAACACCACGTATTTTTATGTGTACTGTTCAATACGGTGAGGGCTTTAAAGGGGGAAGTGGAGGAGAAGTGAATTAAGTTCAAGCATCCATCGATACCATTCCCTCGATAAGCTGATGGAAACCCAGGAATGGCCCTATTTCAAAGCTAACATGGTTTAATTCCTCTCCAGGCAGTGCCCCAACAATCGTGCCATCATCCGAGCTGTGTTATCACCTCAGGTGGGCACCTCATAGAGAGACAAAACATGAAGTTTAAAATGGGTTGAGGAGGGGAAGCTGTACACATGTCAGAAAGGAGATGTCAACTTTGCAAATTGTGAAATGCTGTATTCTGGTACACAGATTTATTGAGAAAATTACCTGGGCCTTGGCTATTGTCGCTCTCCTCCTCTGGGGGTATGGGTGGAGGGAAGTCATCCTCTGAAAGAAAGAATACCAAGTCATTACTTAAAATGTACTTTTATGTTTTAGTGTGAACACAACATGCAGTAGATTAGCAGAAAAATACACCAATTCGGCCTATTGACTCTGTGTTAGTGGTTATGCTCCTCACAAGCCTTTTCCCACTCAAACGCATCTCGCTTTTTCTACATGTCCTTCATATAGCGTAGTCATAGAATAGAAAAGTCATAGACATTTCTTCCTGATTCTCGTGTTTCTCCAGTTTTCCCTTAATGTATCCACAATCTTTCTCTAAAGTGCTTTTTGTGGGAGCAAGCTCCACATTCTCACTGAAGGGGTTTCTCCTGAGTTCCCGACTATCTCGGAATTCACTGCGTACTCAATCCCCCTATGTACTTCCTTAATGTTGCCACTAACTTGCTAGCACCTGTGGGCAGAGTAGTCTGCTGGGAGCTTGCTCCTCGTTTTGGTTAGGAGCAGCACTGGTCAGGTAAACTGCCTGGTGTAGACGCTGGTGATTTCCACACAGTAACTGAATCTAATTGCCACCAGGAATGAAAATTGGGAGTCTTTGTTTAAGAGTAGATGGCACATCTGTAATGCACACCTTACCATCAAGTTCCCTCTCCATTGAGAAGTCCCTTGCTTAGCTTAGAGACTGCACAACTTGACATAGCAGTTGACCATTGTAAATTAACACCAAAACATAATGTTGGATTAGAACATAGGAAGTAGAGGCATAGAACAGGCCATTCAGCCCCTTCAGCCCTCTCCACTCTTCAATGTAATCATGTCCCATGTTCCACTTTAACACCATCTTCCTGCATTATTCCCATTTCCCTCAATGTTTTTCATTTGTAGAAATCTATCAATCTCTGTCTTGAACATAGTCAATGACTGAGCCTTCATAGCCCCGTGGGGCAGACAATTGAAAAAATTCACTGCACTCTGAGGGAAGAAATTCTTCCTCCTCTCAGTCCTAATGATCTGCCCCACATCCTGAGGCTGTGTCCCCTGGTTCTGTATCCCTCAGCCTCAAGGGACATCCTTACTGTATCTATCCTGTTGATCTCTGTGAGAGTTTTATAACTCTCAACAAGATCAACTTTCATTTTTCTAAGCGCTTGAGAATGTTGAACCAAACTGTTTAATCTTATCTCCTGGGATAACCCCTCCATCCCAAGAAGTAGTTTGGTAAACCTTTGCAGCATTTCCTCTATGCCAAGTAAAGCTTTCCTTTCGAAGTAGGCCAATACTACAGACAATCCTCCAGACGTGATCTCACCAAGGCTCGAAGCAATTGCAGAAAGATCTCTTTTCTTCTCTACTCAAATCCTCTTGTAATAAAGGGAAACATGCCATTTGCCTTCTTAACTACTTGCAGTACCTTCACATTAACTTGCACTGATTCATGAGCAATAAGATCCTTTGAAGTTCACACTCCTAATCCTCTCACTATTTAAAATATACTCTGCATTTATGATTTTCCGACCCAAATAGATAACCTTACATTTCTCTGCATCTGCCTGCTCAGTTATGCTCTCCAAATCCCTTACAAACATCCTTGCATCCTCTTCACAATTCACACTTCCACCTAGTTTTGCATCTTCTGAAAACAAGGGAAAGATTACACTGAATACCCACATCCATTTTTTTGACATGCATTGTGAGAAGCTGGTGCCCAAGCACTGATCCTTGTGAATTATCAGTGATATCCCACTGTTCACAATCTGCCAATCAATTATTTCTCCTCTCCATTTTCTGTCCTTTGACTACCTCTCAATCCATACCAGTAGATCTCCCCAATCCATCATGCTCTCTTTTCTTTCCCTAGACATTTGTGTAGGACTTTATTGACTGCCTCCTGAACATTTAAATATAACATTTCCACTGGTTCCCCCTTATCTGTTCTGTAAGTTACAACTTCGAAACAAGCTGAACAAATTTGTCAAACATGATTTTCTTTCATGAATCCGTGTGGGCTCTGTCCAGTTTTATTGTTATTTTCTAAGTGTCTTCTGACACTGAATGTAACATGGAATGAATTTTTTGGAAATGTGGTGGAGGCAGGTTCAATCAAGATATTCAAGAGCCCATTGGATAGTTATTTGGATAGAAATGGGGTGCAGGGAAAAGGGGGGAAAGGCAAGAGACTAGCTCTGGGTAACAGAACTAGTACTGATACTATGGGCTGAATGGCCACCTTCTGCATTGTAACATTTCTGTGATTCTGTGAACGCTATCCTTTATTACATTTTCCTTATGACAGCTGTTAGATTAACAGGTCTGTACATTCCCCATTCTCTCCCTCCCTCCTTTCTTAAATAGCCATTTAGATTTTTCAGTTTCCAAACTACTAGGGCCTTTCTGGAGTCTACAGGATTTTGAAAGATGACCGCCGATGCATCTATAATCTCGACAAGCACCCCCTGCAACACCCTGGGATGTAGATCATCAGGTCCATTTTAAGCTTACTTTGCTTGTTTACTTTAAGTTTCATTCATTTCTCTACTTTGTTCTTACTAATGCTAATATCTTGCAGTTCCTCATTTACACTAGTCCTGCGATTCTCCTTTATTTCTGTGAGATTTTTAGAAACCCTGCCAATGAAAGAAAACACGAAGTATCTGTACAGTTTCTCTGCCATTTCCTTATTCCCCATCATAGATTCTTCCATCTCTCCCTGTAGTCCATATGATTTTGATAACTTTTCCTTTTTACATGTTGGCAGGAAGTTTTTAGCCTATTGTCATGTTGGTCACTAGTTTACATCCAATTATCCCATTCTTAACCTTGATCTTCCTTTACAGAATTCTAAAATTCTCCCAATCCCAGGTTTACTATTTGTTTTGATAACTTTACAGGTTTTATCTTTGATATAATGCAATCCTTGACTTCTTTTGTTAACCATAGTTGGCACACTTCCCTTGTTGGGCTTTTCGTGCATTAAAGGAATGTATTTTTAATGTAAAATATTAATTATGTAAGTGTTAGCCATTGCTAATTTACTGGCAGATCTTTTGATCTGGTTTTCCAATCCACCGTAGCAAATTTTCCCCTCACAGTTTGCTTTATAGAAATATAAGATTCTCGTTTCTCAACCATATCATTTACAAACTTAATGTAAAATGGCAACGTTATTACGCTGAGATAACAAGGTGCAGAGCTGGATGAAGAAGGGTTTAGGCCCGAAACGTCAGCTTTCCTGCTCCTCTGATACTGCTTGGCCTGCTGCGTTCATCCAGCTCTACACCTTGTTATCTCAGATTCTCCAGCATCTGCAGTTCCTACTATCTCTGAAACATTAGTATGCTCACTGTTTTCTACATGTTCCTTTACACTAAGGCGATCAATTATATTATTTTTAAGTACATAACATTAGTTGTAAAGTAGCCCATTACCCAATTGGTTCCTCAACATACCGCTCTAGAAAAACTCTCATACATTCGCAGAATTTGTTCCCCACAACATGAGTATGAGCTAGCTTTAACCAGTCCTTATGTAGACAGAAGTCTGCTGTGATTGATATATATACTCTTATTACACGTAGCTCTAACTGAGACAGGCAACCAAACATTTGGTCAAAGAACAAAAACAAAGTTGCTGGAAAAGCTCAGCAGGTCTGGCAGCATCTATGAAGAGAAAATCAGAGTTAACGTTTTGTTTTTGTTTCTGATTCACAGCATCCGCAATTCTTTCGTTTTTTATTTGGTCAAAGAGGTGGATATTAAACAGTGTCTAGAGGGAGGAGAGGTGGAGACTGTCATCAACATTAAATGGGAGCACGGTGGCTCAGTGGTTAGCACTGCTGCCTCACCAGGGACCCGGGGTCAGTTCCAACCTCAGGCGACTGTCTGTGTGGAGTTTACAAATTTTCCCCGTGTCTGTGTGGGCTTCCTCCAGGTGCTCCGGTTTCCTCCCACAGTCCAAAGATGTGCAGGATAGGTGGATTGGCCAGGCTAAATTGCCCAAAGTGTCCAGGGATGTGCAGGGTAGGTTTAGTGCAGGGTTACAGGAATATGGTGGATCTGGGCGGGATGCTCTTCAGCTGATTGATCGGCTGAACGGCCTCTATCTGCACTGTAGGGATCCTATGATTCTATGAATTGCAGGTGATAAAAATAAGGGATGTACAAGAGGCCAGAACTGGAGAAACGCCAAGATCTCAGAGGGTTGGATAGTGGCAGAATGTGAAAACCACCATCAATGAGAATTTGTAAATTGAGGCACTGCCAGACTGGGAGCCAGTGTAGAACAG